TAGAGATTTTGTAGTATTTTGTTTTCACTAAACTAAAACTGTGATCATGTATGTAAACCAATTCAAAAAGATATTTAAGTAAACAAATGCCTTAAATGTTTTTTTTTAAAAGAGAGAACTTATTTATAAAACAAAAGTTGATAAAATAAAACAAATCAGATTTCTTTTTCGTTATGGAAAAAAAGAAACTATTATTTGTATTCGAATCCTATAGGGGAAGTGTATATACGATCTGGGCGTTGAAATTGATTGATTGGTTGAAAAACGGAAATGTCTATTTCTATTTTAATTTGTGTGTAACCAATGAAAATGACCGTTGAGAAAAATTCCTCCCATTTTTATTTTTTTTTCGTTTCTAAAATGTTCTAAGTAATATCGAGTTATTATTATTATTATTATCATTATCATTCATTTAATTAACTTTAATTTAATGTGGAAATGGATTTAAACGATTTAAGAAAATTCTATTTAGAGGTTAGTCTAAAGGTTTCAACATGTAAAGGGGCTGAATTTTAATAAGATTAGTTTTAAATAAATAATATATTTTGTATTATCCCAATGAGTAGAAAAACTAGATTTTTTTGACGTTTCATGACTTAATATAAACCATTTCTTTAGAGAATAAGTAGCTAAATAAACCAATTTCGGATTAATTTTAATCTGGTTATTCTCTGAAGAAATGGCTTATACTAAGTCACGAAACGTCAGAAAACTTACTTTTTCTACTCATTGGGATATTACAAATATAATAAGTTTATTTATAACAATCTACCCAATGCTCAATTTATTCGAAATTATCAAGTCAAACCTTGATAATGATACCTATAGGATTAGTTCGTTTTCTTATTATGACAGAGAGAACAGGAATAAATTATTTTTTAAACTAATCTAATCTCGATGCATCGGTAATAATTAGTTCAGTTTGACACATGTAAAGTGGCTTTACAGTTGTTTAATTTTGACAATCCAATTTTAGTTGATAAACTATTTAAGTCATATTATTTAAATATTTCTTGTCATATTACTTAAACCTTAATGAAAATCAACAATTTCAACGTAGATCATATCATTTTCTCTGTCGTATATTTAAGTCATTATGAAGAATTTCTATTAGATTAAGGTTTTCTTTTGTCTGTCAATATATATTCATATGGTTCAGTTAAAAGTAGATTATAGAAACTTGTTTCTACACATTTTTCAGGGAAATTCATGTCTATGTTTTTCAATATCTTAGAAAAAAGTGTTATTATTAAGACTCTTAAACAGTGGGAGTATTGGCTTTAATTATATATTCCAGCTTAGTATTGACAAATTATTGATTAAGTACGATTCAGATATATGAGTAGTGAAAGAGTTGTTTCAAATGACATTCAACAACCATCATGCTAAATTACTGAGTGAAGTTAAAAATTCATACTGTAGGATATTAACGCAGAGGGTTAATGGTTTATGACTGGCTACGAGACCTGAGGGTCTTTGATTCGTCCCCTGATGGATTCATGGTTCAGCACTGCTATACAGTTCTGTATCAATACCAAATCGCTGTCCATTGCTGATTCTGGTTTCTAACTATTGACGGGTTATTTATTCTGTGAAATACCTTTGTAATTTATATCATCAAATGACCTTAAAGAATCATAAATTATAGTCTCACCACTAACGACAACATTGATTGAAATAAATCAGAATAATAGGAGTGTATATAAATGCAATGTTCACAATTATACACACTAGATGCAAACAATTTTTGTTTTGATTGTGATTTATTGGCTGATCAAAAGGATAATAACTATTAACTCAGCTATATTTATCTTGAGTAAAACCGGACTCACAAACATTTCCTAGCTATTGTAATATTGAAAATTTTGAACAATACTGATAAATTGTAAGTTTTTTTCCGACATAAAATTCACTGATATTATATTAATAAATTGAATATGGTTTTTGTAATTTAAATCACAAACTGATCCTCCAGGACGAGTTCCATACAAGAACTAAATGGCCATCCAGTGTTTCTATATTTTCAATAGTTGTCTGGCGAAGGTCAGTTCATGATGTAGATTATGAACATTCTACAGTATTCACGGAATTTAATTATAACTGATTCATTGCAATCTAGTCGAAAATTTCTAGAACAGAAAATCTACTGTATTATTTTTGTAATACACTTTGATGAGTGAACTAAAACAGGTTAATACAATTGGATATAAAGTGAATTGTATGATAATTTTTTTCTCATTGATACGGGATATGATTATTCATTTTCTATATACAAGAATTAAAGTTTAAGAGTCAAACAGATACTGGTCACGTCATTTCACATATTTATTTACTGTATCAAAACCATGAAACAAAAATTAAAATCATTTTGAGTAAATGAGTTTTTATATTAATAAACTTATGTCTGGGTGACTAGCTAACCATTGACAGTACATCTGATGAACTGAATTTTAGGAAATATTGATCCAGGCATCTAAAAGAAACATTTTTTTTAATATAAACATATTGTACTCTAAATATTGCAACTTTTTGTTATATTTTCGGAAGTGTTTTTTTTCAAAATAAACACAACAAACATTATTGAATTCAATGTACTCATATATAAATAACTATTGCAATTGTAAACATGAATGCACTGAAATTTGAAAATAAAATGTTCCATTTAGCCAGTATGTAGCTAGGATACTCGAAAATAATAGAATGATCATGTCCAAATTGTAGTTTATTCATTTGTTATTATAATTGAATAATTTAACAAAGTAGAAACTATCAAATGCAAAAAAATAAACAAATTCGATATTTGAAAAATCAATACAACTCACTTCCAATTAATGTTCAATGATATAACAACGACCTAAATAGATTTAGAAAATAAAAAAGAAACCCTAACAAAACCTATAACGTAAAGTAAATAGTACTCACAATCTGTTTCTGTTGGTAAGTAATCAAAATGAACTAGATAGAGTTAACGTAGTATTTGTCTCGATCGATAATTCATTTCTCTGCTTTAAATTACTGTCATACTATAACTTCTGTTTGAATTATCTTACAAACTTAGCGAGTTGTATAACTTTGCTAGATCTTGTCAAAAAGACTTGTTAAATACTGAAATCATGACTGATGGATGGAATTGTAATTTTGAAAGAAAGGTTATTTCCATTTGTCTGCTTATCTGGTGCTAAAAGAAAAGAATCATGTATTAAGTAGAAGAGTACACGAATACAAAATCAAAACAAATAGGATTGAACCATAAATGCTTGGAAGAATATTAGAATGTTCAGAGAACCTTTCACTTCTTACTGCGCTTAGGATTGTATGGTATTATAACTGGTCTAGATGAACAATATGGTTTCAAGTTGAGTACATAAGACGGGCAAAAAGTCTACGTAGTGTATTTAATTTAGCTAATGTTTTTTGACATCAAGCTTAAATAAATTCGGATGTCAAGAAGATTGTGCAACTCGACTGTCAAGTATATTCTCACTTATTGTATTTTCCACCACATAAATAATTGTAAAGTTCAGAAATACTACTCACCATTAGGCTGCTCAAATCCAAAGTAGGTGGGATTACGTTTGAATCTATACTCTAAAATTTGTAAGTTGATTACTTGAAACACAGTAAACCATAAAATATTGCGTTTCTTGAGGTCAAAATGACTTTTTAAGTTGTATTTATCACAAACTAATCTCAAGTGGGTGTATGTACTATTAAAATCAAATAGCACTGGAGAGCTGTTTCATCCTAGAAGGGGACTCTTTAGCAAAGCTCACCCAAGACCTCAAGAGGGATTGAAACAGTGTCTATATGTTTCTCAAAGTTGCATTGGATTCTATTCAATTCATAGTTAACTCTGTCTATGAAGCTTATGACATGGGCAATTAGAACCAATTTATCTAAGAGTTTTGTTTTTAATTTGAATAGTTGAAAGTTGTTGCTGTAAAGCGTTTTTATCGAGAGCTAAGTATTGATCAGTCCAGAAAAAATTAATGCTAGTTCCAAGATTCCACACGTTTTTTTATTTAAAAGCACCATCTAAAGAAATTGGGGCCATCCGATTCAGTGATTTTCGGATAATTTTTTACTTCATAAATAGTTCTCATAATGATATAATTATCACTTACACATCAATAACTAGAGCTCTGAAATTATTTCCCAAAATCGTTGATGGGAAACTATGATCTGTGAAGCCAGTTATATTAGGAACGAGGCTGTTACTCATTGATATCATTGTATGGTGGTCGTGTCATGTTGCAAATCGATTAGTCGATTCTGACTCAGTGTCTAAATAATGCCATCTTCGCCGCACGACATATATGATTCAGTGTATTCATGGGTTTGTATTTATACACTGATTAAGTTTTCTGTTCTTAGCATCGATAATTTGCAATATGAGAAGTGATTTCTGTCCATCAAGCTAATTTATTTTAGTTGGTATTTATATTGTGATTTACATAAAAGATTTGATGACAGTTATTATTAAGCTATCAGTTTCTGTTTCTTGTACGCTTACTAAGCTAGATGTTTCCTCATTCAAAGACAGATTCATGAAATACATTTAATTTATTGTGCTATTCATATTCATTATCACATAGATTACTAATAAGCATTTGAAAATTTCCCTAACATCAAACGTAATTTTATATTTGAAATTAAACAATTTCATAACTTCATATGTTTTTCTCGAATCACGTCTTTTATGCTTGATTTTTTCTACTAATACTGGTGCTGTTGCTACTTATACTACTCAAGCATATCACTGTGCTGATGTAGTGTGGTAACTTGAATCAGTGAACATAACTACAGGGATTTATGTTGCTTAAGACTGATTGTTTGATCAAACCGTAAATACTAAACGGTGACAATATTTTATATTTACATAATATTTTGAATGAAAATAAACTATGTATAATTATTTTAGTCTTAGTAAACAGTCGTTACCTTGCCTTCATTTTTGCGCTTAACCGATTATTTTCTGTATTTTGTTATTATTTATTTAGAAAATGAAAGAGAAGAAAAAGTTCTCTTTTCGGAAGCTGATTGGTAAATGTAAGCGATTATCTCATATGTATACGTATACAATGGTTAATCATTATTATTATTATTATCCTTATCTGTGTTATTTGATTATTTTTACCAAGGTGTATTTAATGAGTACCTGCTTATAAAAATAATACTGCCTTTTATTATATTAATAAATGATGGGGCTCTACATTCCTGAAAATTATATTCGGTCTATTAAAATGTCATGTACATTTTGGTACGATCACTGAACGTTTTATTAAATAAGTAGTAGGGATAGGTCAGAAAATTCTCGACTTACGACCCCAGCTTTTTGAGACCTGAAAGGAACTGTTCTATTTTTGGATAGTCAAACTTAAGTTGATCGACTCCACGGTTACAGATATTACTACTCTGGTATTCACATGTTGAATGATGTTCCATATGGCTAGATTATTCGACGAATCAATCAGTAACCACTGTCATACAGGTATTTAGTACTTTTAAACAAAAATCAAATTGATCTGTGACGTCAGATTATTTAAAAACTATAGTGACAATTACAGTGCATGATAAATAGATTTTTACGGTTTAATAATCCCTATAGAATATTTTAAAAACAAAGGAACATTTGAGCAAACAATTGTTATCAATCACTTTGTTATCAGGCTGTATAGTTATTTCATTCAAGTCAAAATAAGGTATGTATTAGTGAATTAGACAATTTTATAAGTTAAAATTGGTGAACCTTTGCATCTATGACTGAATGTATACTTCATTCTTAAATTAAAAAGGTTATTTACTAAAGGTTGATAATCAAAAATAAACGATGTGATATTGATCACACTTGAGTAATTCATATATTGGTTATATTTTTTCAGGTATGCATTTACTTAGAATGTACAGCTTCAATATAGAATAGTTCAATAAATGAGATTATGTTTAAAGTATATCATGGGGACACAAAATGCATTGCTATTAAAAAATATAGGAGTTCATTGCGATATACTCATCAAAATTTATCGGAATTATCATCATACACTGTATGTGACGTAGCTAACTGAGTTCGAATTTCTTAGATACAGAGAAGAGTATTTAGTGCATCAATAAGTGATATATATATATATATATTTCGTTGGTCGGATATCATCAGCAACAGCCTGGTATGGGAGAGTACAAACCAGCTTCCAGCTGAGGAGGAAATTAGGGAAAGACGTTGGAAGTGGATAGAACACATTTTGAGGAAATCAAACAGCACCACGAAATAAGGGATAACTTAGAATTCTGAAGATAAACGAAAAAGAAAAAGACCAAAGAACACATTGCGTTGAGAAATGAAAGCAGATATAAAAAGGATTGCCCAGAACAATGTTGGTTTGAGTATCCTGGTGGGTGGCCTATGCTCCTTCCCGAGTGGTAACAGGCGCAAGTATATGTATAAATATATATATTTATATTATGACATGGGATGATCTATGTTTATTCTTCGCTTTTTTTCTTTCTTTTTTTTGAACAGTTGAAGAATCATCAAAATCACATGTAAATGAAATGTTAAATAAATCTCATTCCGATATACAAATTGATTTAAATAATCAACAAATGGAAAGCGAACTAGAATTTGCACATAAATTAATGAACTCACCAGAAGAAATGGGTTTAAGTTTAGAGGGCAGAGATAATGAAATTGAATGTTATGTACAAACAATATGTGAACCATGTACATTAAGTAAAAATGCAATAAATTTTGATCGTTTACTACGTCGTATTGATACAACTAATGCACGTGTAACAACATTAATCAATTTATGCACTACAGCTATTTTAGCCTCAGATAAAACTGCTATTAATTTTCTAGTGAATAGTTTAAAACGTATGCGACGCAAACAAAATTTATTAATTAATGAAGCAGATGATACAATGTTGACATTTTTAAAAGATCCTCTGATTTTATTACGTTCAAAGAAGAAAAAAGTTGGTAAAAATGAAAGTGGTGTTAAATTCAGTATTCATTATCCTGAAGATGACGACGATGAAGATGATGATAGTGATGATGTAGAAAACGATATTGATGGTAATGGTAATGTACGAGAAGGCAATATTGAAGATAAATGTGAAAGTAGTAAAAAAAATGAGGAGGCACAAATTCGTTGGGAAATGAGTAGTAATCAACTAAGTACTGATTATTCCACAAGTGATAGTGATAATGATGGTCCAACGCCTGAATTTGTTTTAAATTTATCTAAACAAATACGTAAAACAGAAGGTACACGATTAAAACAAAATTTACGTTTAATCAATCGTAAAAAATCATCAAATATGGGAAGTAAAAAAGCATCATATAATGTCCCACCACCTTTGAATCCACTTGGACATAATCGTAATGATTTATTACGTTCACATGCTACAGTAGCAAGTGGTCTTTGTCAACAAAGTCATAAAATATCATCATCATCTATGCTATCAACAAATGGATTACATAATACTGATACAAAATATACACCAACATTACCATTTAATTTATTAAGTTTAACTGGACAATTATCATGGTTAATTTCAGAATATATTGAACGTGGTAGTTCAACATATAAATGGGCTACAGAATTAATTAATTCAATTGGTAAAATGTCTGTTACACGATCTACATGGTTAAATGTACATCAACAATTAAGAGAAACAACAGAATTATTATATTCACATCGTGATCAACAATTAAAATTATATTATTCAATTAATGAAACACCACAAGGTGAAATTGCATGGACTAAATTACAAGCAATACATCAAAATTTATTAAATGGTGATTTAAATGCTTCGACAATTACACCAAATAATTTAAAAGTATTATGTCAATCATCAAAACAATTAAACAATCATAATCATAATGAAAGAAAATTAGTACAACTATCTTGTTTATTAGAGAAAAAATTACATTTAGCTTATTTATGTGATTTATTATTATGGAAAGCGCATAAAATAATATTAACTCAATTAAATTATACTGATGAAGATATAGTGAAATGTCAATCGATGGATTTTCAAATACGTTTATTTGAATTACAATTAGATCAATTAAATGGACAAAATTGGTCAACAAATTTAATGAATTATATGTTATGTTGGTTAAATGATATATGTGAATGGAAAAATCAATTTAATTTAAATTCATCTGATATTGATTATTTTATATGGAATGAATTTTATGTATTTAAAAATTCAATTGAAAATTTATTCGATTTAGTTCAATCATTAAATGCTTGTAAATTAATAAGATCAGCATTAGATGAACAAAATAATAATCATATTAATGATATGAATCAATCAATTTATAATTATCATTTAAGTAATAGTTTAAGTAATATAAATTTAGATGATAATCAAAGTAGAATATCATCATCAGATGGATCATCATCTAAAATACAATCACATAATCGTTTATCACATAATAATTATCATCCACATCAATCACATCATAGTCAAGGTGATTTTCGTATATTAGATGCTGAACGTTGTTCAAGATCATATTCAGCATTAGTTAGACAAATACAAGAGAATGCTATGAATAATAGACCATTAGCTTATTTTGCTGAACGTGCTTTATATGATATTGCAGTAGAATTAGGTTGTACAGTAAATTGGGATGAACGATTTGATAGTTTAAGTAAAGAATTAAAAAATGCATGGCAAGAATGGGAATTAATTATACGTGAAAAAATAGATCGTGATTTCTAGTCGTTTAATCATTTTATCATCTAATATTTCTCTACTATTTTTTTCTGTCATATTTTGAATTTATTACTAAGTGAGAAAAACTAAACACAGAATGAATCAAGAAATCAACAACAAAAAAACAACAGAAAATAAAAAAAACAAATCAGATCCAATAGTATTTTTGCACTCCCCTCTCGCATGCATCTTTCATTATTTTTCTCTTTTAAAAATGTACATTTTTGAAGAAAAAAAACTAAACGGCAGTTATAACTATTTTTTAAAAACAACAACGATAATAATGATCACAACGACAACAACAACAAAGATTCGGTCATTTGTACTATTGAAATGAAAATATAAAAACAAAATGTTATTTACATCTTTCATTCCCTCACTCTCTCCCTCTCGCTCCTTCTCTCCATTTGTCTATTTCATGATCGATCGTCATTTGAAAGTTTAGATGTTCTGCTGACATAATACTATAGATTATTATTATTATTAGTCTTTTGATCTTATTTATATTAAAGTTGACTTCATTACTCTTTATGATTTGATCTTTTTTTACAAAAAAAAATGTTTTTTTTTACATGTTTACGGATGTTTTTTTATTTTGACTGTGTATTTTATTATTATCACACTGAATTGTTAATCAACATAAAAAAAGAAGAACTAATGACATTGAAATTTCTCATTTATTTAATTTACATATTATCAGTGTTAAAATTGCATATTTGAATGTTTAATTATGTAAAAAGGGTATTTTCAACTAATCATATATGATTGATAAAAATATGTCTGTGATTGATTTAAATAATGAGACTATAATAAATATATAGACAACCTTTGTGAGATACCAAAGTAACTGAGAATGAAATGAGAGTTATAAATCAATGTGAGGAATTACAGTTAAGATTTACAGTTGATTGTTACAGTTACGAATTATATTTATGGTTTTCATCATGAACTGATAATAGCTATCATGTCAAAACGCTATTTGGTTAGATGGATGAATGAATTTTGCGTCAAAATCCGAGACCTATTATCTCATATCTGATTAGTTCATTCAGAAATTATAATCTCCTTAGATAAGGTACACAAACTGTATATAATAAGTCGCTATCTTTTAAACTCATAGTATGAATAAGAGGGAATTTATATTTCCCCGAACCAGATAATCTTCAATGAAAGTGACGAATCAATGGCATGGATTAATAATAAATTGTCTTATATTTCTTGTAATGGAAGTCGATGAAATTCATTCTGTTTGTTTCTGTTAGCTTTCTGTAAAAAGTTCACTAGATTAAACATAAATTAAATTTGTTTTAGGTTTTATAATTGTTTTGTATAGTTGGACAATATGATAAATTTTGGTTGAGTAAACTGATTCGTGTATATACAAACAACGTTTCAAATTAAAGAAAACCTAAAGTTAAAGGGAAATGCTAGAAATTGAAAATGGATCCAACCAATCTTATCCACCACATTGATTTAATAAGTTCGTTTTAATTTCTACAATATTCATTAACAAGGTTAGTTGCACACTAGATATATTTAAAACATGGATTAAACTTAAATGTATTATTATGTGACACACTAGGTAATTCGTGACCTTCATAGGTACAGTAATCTGGTAAAAATCAAGCTGACTGAGGTTCCCAGATGATGGGTGAAACAATACACATGTAACTTCTTTACTCCTTATTGTGGTGTAGCTGTCACTTCAGATGAGTGAAGTCTTGTCAAGCATATCAATATCAAGTTTTGGATTGATAACTTCAAATAAATTGAGAATTGCATGGAATGTTAATAATAAGACAATTATATGTTTATGATGTCCCAATCAGCAGAAATTGCAATTTCTGGTATCTTTTAAATTACTTTGTGTTAATTCTTCAGAGAGTAAGTAAATAAATAACCTAATTAAAGTAAATTCTAAGAAGTAAAGAGAAACAAGGCATATTATTTAGTTCAGTTCAAATCAAAATAAGTTTGCTTATATCAATCTCATGTCAATTATTTGGTCAAGGAGACTGTGCATTACTGTGTGTATTTGTATGACGGTGGGTGCGATGTTCGAGGTATTAAGATATCACCTAGGACCGACAGATGGAACAAAAGTCAGCAACGCAACAACAAGACAAGGTAAGCTATTGCAATGCGCCCCAGCGCTGCTAACTAAAGGGAGAAATCCAGATGCAACCGGAATATATATATATATATATATATATATATATATATATATATATTCCACAATCAGTCTGAAAGAATGAACGAACAAGCACAAAACTCATATGTATATATACTACATAAAAGTGTCCGTTAAAAAACTTCACAAAATAACCTACTAAAGGAGGAAACAAACCAATGATACATAAGGTCCTTTTAGTTTGGAAGCACAAACTGGGGGGGGGGATAAAAATGAGGCTTTTGGCGCGAAAATAAGGTGTTCAAATTACCACAATACGATTACAAAAATGAGGAGTTTACTAAGTAATTTCCAAGGATCTAGTATCCTCAAAAGTGAGTACGAAAAATGTGAAATTTTTCATATGAAGTAGAGGTTAAACGTTAGTTTGTGCGTAGTAATAGTGTGAGAAATGGATAGAACTAAGCGTGTTTCTTTGAATAAATTTAATCTCGGAAGAATTAACTTAAACTGATTTACAAAATGTCAAAAACTGAAATTTCCACTCGTCGAGGTATCATAAATATATCACTATATTGCCATTCTTGTCGAATACTTTTGATATTCTCTTCAGTGTATTCAAAAATATCACATCTCGCTAAGGAATATGTCATCTATATAGTCTAATTCAAATGGTGAGTTACTTTTTCGATAAAAGATTGATCGTTAAATTATTGAAAATGAGATTTCTATTTAAATCTCTAGTGAATTTCATTAAAGATTGAGAAGGTTATCACTTTCAGTGGGTTAAATCATGTAATAGTTTACAAAGCATTTTGAGGAGAAAATCATCGTGTCATTACAGCACTTACAAAAATGTACCTCGACTATACAGTATTTCGTTCAGTAAAAACAATCATTACGAGCTATAGCAACAGAATAAACCGAGATATTGATTTCAGATCAAGAAATATCTGTATAGATAACGTATCATCATTCCATTCAATTCATTGTTGAAATTATGGTGTTTCATACTTTAGTTATGTATTCAGTGAATATCAGTTCTAACATTTTGGCTTATTTTCTGTGTGTTCATTATACAAGAACTAAAAAAAGCCACAGAAAATGTATATCACTGCAATAAATAAAAATCCTTTTATTACTATTCAAGATAGAAGGATACAAAGATTGAAAATCAGTAGGTGGTCTGATTACTACTTTTTTAACTAATTGAATCAATGAACTACATGATCTAGATGATTTGTTATTTTCTGATTATTATCACTCGTCATAAACTAGGTATGATCATCTAACTGGGCAATTTTTAAAGCTACAATAATCTACAGTTCCATATTCTGTCAATTAATTTATCTTTTGGCATCAACAAAGCATGATATTTCTTATGGAAAATTACTGTTTTACTAAAAAAATCAGGTACTGTGAAGAGTTCATTATAGAGACTAATGATCTGAGAACTCGATTTATTTCTGTTTTTGATCAAATATCATTCGCATTTATGTGTACAAGTGTATTTATTGTTAGATGTCAGATCGAATTTGATCGATAATAATTGTAATCATCATTCTGGTTAATAATTATTAATAAGTTATTAATTAATCCATATCTTCAGATAGCTCAGTTTTTTAATGAGTGGTGATTATTAGAGTTAATTACTTGACGAGAGTTGGCAGAAAACTCCTGTTCTAAGTCTCATGCTAGTGGTTTTACATCGGTAAGATATATGCCCAAACTTGGTCGATACAACTTGATTAACACTAAGGATTAAACAACATGGTAATGGTTACCAATATGGGACCAGTAAAAGAAATGATTCAAGTTAAGAGAAAACTTATACTGAAGTAGGGTACAAACCAGTGAACTTCAAATTAGTCATTCTGGTGGTCTATAGACTGAATTATGAGGTCCTAGTATTAACCAAATCTCAATTTAATCTCAGTCACTTGGCTTAAAGTCATTTAAGTTTAACTATAAACACAAGGAAATGAAAAAGAGTAAATCGTTTAAATTACAACATCACCAGTTGTATCACTCAGTGGTGATAAATGTCATGTTCGTCTAGTTCTTTAATGCTAACTAAATTCCAGTCACTATTCAAGGTGACTTGACATAGTGTGGTTTGAAACCCATAGAAGGCATCGGCCCCTTCAGGATTGTAAGTGCGCCATGCTAATGAATGCCAACCACCACAAACCTTCTCCTACGATCTTCTGCGACTACCTTCAACAGCATGACATCTCAATAGTGTACATGCAATATTGAGTCACTTAGACAAGTGACCTCGTTACAATTCATTTATTCATTATTTTGATAATACTTGTCTTTGTCCTGATAATTAATCATTTATCGATGGCGGTATTTATTTTCTTTCTGGGTATCCGTCAAAGTTATAAACTCATTTTAATCAACTGCTCTATTGTAAACTCATAAATGGTATACAAATCGGTATCTCTGAAATGTTAGTTTGCCGGTTTATTAGGACTTTTCCGTGTTTTCTTCACGTTCTGATCTTTGATGAGCTTTTTTTAAACAAAGCTATGATTCTATTTACCAATCTGAAAGCAACAATAAGCTCAGATTATAACGCCTTACTGTCATTTTAATAGATATAGATAGAGAAAATCGTAATTAAAGAGATTTCTTTAAAATAAAGATTAGTTTAACTATGGTAATCTTCCAGTTTCTATGTTGATTTATAAAGATTTTCAATATGATGGTGTGATAATATTGACCTTAGACAGTCATATTGGTCTCTATATGGTTGATGTAAAGTACCTTTTTCTGAAACAAAAATCATGTTTTGATGTTAATGTGGGTAGTTATTTATTAATGAAACTCGTTGAATAGTCATGTATTATATATTGAAACACTTTCTATC